TATTGACATATGTTGATTATAAGAAAAAGTATCATCTGATATATGATATTGCATTACAGTTAATGTTGATACTAATAAATACTAATGCTGATATTTAACTGTCAGTATTAAAATGTTGTCTGATGTTGTGTTATTATTTTTCATCAAAGCTAATTAAATTTTCCTTAGTAGAACAAATTGTTTTATTATTGCAAAGTGTTACGTTTGAACTGTTTTGAAGTTAGTCACAAGCAACACTTGTGTTGTGTCGTGTCTTCTGAATTCATGACGTTCTCCCTGAATTAAAGAAAAAAATATCCGCAAAATAAAATCGGTGATAAGAGATAAGAGTGTGGATGTGGGTGGATGGGTGGACGTTGGTGAAAAAGTCATCTACAACCATACTCGCCTTTAAATTCGACGTGTAGGATTTCGTATTCGGTTGACGACCTCATCTAGAATACTAAAGACGACCGCTTCTCTGAGGTTTCTCGACAATCAAGACTGATTTTATCGTGAGGTCGTAGACTTTACATTAGCCTTCCAAATTTTAAAGCTTAGTCTTTAAACTAATCCATGTCATGGCCTACAACCTCATCCGAAAAGCACGATTTTCATTAAAAGCCCATTTTTAAGAGAGCCCTGCTGACCAAAAGAAAGGGTCTGCATTGTTGCGATTTTTAAGGAATATACAACTCTATGTGTTCTAGCTTCAGTGAAAATTTCAGACCTCTATCTTAGTCTAATCACGATGTATGAAGCATCAAAGTTGCCTAAAATGTGAATTCTTGTCCATATGGCGGAAGTCATAAAAATTTAAGGGCTCTATGTTGTCTGTTGAAAATTTTATCCTAAGTTGAATTTATAAATATATATGCCCGCAAAAAAATTTAGCTTCATTGATATAATTGGTCTTGAGATATGACTCCACTGAGACCCTCATTAGTCAAAATGCATGTTTTAGGTCTTTTTGTAAAAACTTCGTGCTCTATGCTGACGATCGTGACTTACCTAGAATAATGCGCATAAGTCATAAAGTTGAAAATATACATCCATTTTACTTTTCTTTGGCAAGCATATAGAAACCAAATATTTTGAATATGTGCCGAAGTCAAGTCAACATATCCACTGATAAAAGATATGGATCTTCTGGGGTCTTCGTCAGTTGAAAAAAAGCACTGCGTATTGAAAATCACTCTCATGTTCAACTAATTTGAGTGCTTGTGAATTTTTATAAAATCAGCTCGTCGAGCTCGATCTACTTATGATATTAATTTGTGATTTGTAATTCTTTGTGTCTCCGCGTCTTTTACAAATATTCGAAAAAATTATTGCAAAAGGAAAAGATATTGGGTGTTTAATTGTGTGCGAAGCGTGAATACTCTTGTTGTTGAATTTTGAGTTTCAATGTTTAAAAGAAAGTAATTGTGCACCTATTGCTGAGATTCCTTATTCGGTTTTCAGGTTTCTTTATACGCCTCACTTGTCTAGATAGCTATTAGTCTTGTACTCAGTTAAGATCTTTTTCAACAATAGTGGAAACCAAATTACCTAGAAATTCAAACGTTCTCTAATCAAAGTATGTCTCTTTTTATTTTCATCATATTCTTGATGTAAAAGGAAAGAGGTTGAGATCATGAACGCATACTTTTTCTGAGCTACAAGCGTTGATTAATGAAGTGGTCAGTCTTCAACGGAATTTCTGCAAACTAAATATGTTTCAAAGATACTGGAGTGTTCTCTCTGTAAGCAATCGATAGCATACAGTTGAATCTCTGAGAAGTCGAAAATAGAAGCCAATACCTCAAACGCACACATATGGTAGCCTTCCATGTATGCCTTCAAAAGTAATCAACTATATTTGAACACTTAGTTATGAATCAATTGTTCCCAGAGAACAGTCTGTATAGTTTTCAACGAATTTCTAGACCATATAGCAAAGACATAATACAAACAATCCATGTCAAAATGTCAAGTAGAATTCCTCCTTCAAAAGCGAGCAGTGTTCAAAAACATCACTCCGTCAGAAATATTCGAATACAAACGTCTGAAAGTGGAATAAACTGTGATGACCAGAACGTTTTCAACACGTCATTTCTCCTTAGAATTTTGACCACGTTGCGTATTTCTTGTTCTTCGATGATACTATACGTCAGATCGAGTGTGGCAAGTGTCTTTGTGAAAACTGGAGATACTGAAATGGAAAACGAGTAGAATATGATTTTTTATTGTATTGTTTGTGAAAACATTGGCAAGATGTTGAGTTTCTTGCTCTACGATTTGATTCGATCTTTAGTCAAGTCTTGTGAGCGCCTGCGTGAAAAGCGGACATCTTCAAGAGGGAGATAAGTCGAAAACGATGTTTTATTGTATTGTTTGTTGAAGCATTAGCAAGATGTTGGATCCCTTGGTCTCCTATTTCAATCAGCCAAACCTAGAGTTCATTGAGTGTCTGTATAGACAGTGCGAATAGAAAAGAGTGAGATCAGTAGAGATTGATCTTTTACTATGTTGTTCGTGAGAGCATTGGCAAGGTATAGTGTCCCTTCGTCTTCGATTCCATCGGACCCGAGGTCAAGTGTGGTGAGCGTCTGTGCAAAATATTGAGATAGGAAAGATTAAAATGGATTAAAAATGATGTTTTACCGCGTTGTTGCAGAAAACATTTGCGAAATTTTATGCCGCTTGATATTGGATTTGATTTTGCCGTAATTGACTTATTTGTAACTTGAAGAGTAATTTATGAGACCCCTTGTTGATAGCATGATCATACTTGGAGAGATGCTTTCAACAACGTGTCGCATGTGAAATTTCATGATATCCTATGGTTTATTTTATCTTGAAATTATTACTCTGATTTCTGAACACTGTCCTTAATCGTACCGAACGCGTTCTCTGAATGATTGTGAAGATTCTATGGAGAATAAGTACATGTGATGAAGGAAGTCGCAAGATGAGTGAATCTAAAGATTGAGCAAGATTAACATCATATTCAACGAAGATCGTCATCTACTTTTTATGTACCTTCAAATTTTTCTAAATCCGCAAGATTCTAAAAGATTTTAGAGAGCATTTGGTTAGAATATAAGACTTCATTAAAGTTGTACGAAATCAGTTCAGAGAAGTATCCTACTTTGAAAAAAAGCTCAAGTACCATACGGAACCATTTTTGCAACAAAAGCGAAACCTTCTTCTAGGTTTCCTAAAACCCAACACATGCTCAGAATCATCAACCGAACTTGAGGAGTCTTTATTAAGATTTCGAAGGTTTCGTTTTCGTTGCAAAATTCAAAACATTTTTTAAGTTTGGTACCTGTTCGGAACTTTTTTAAAGTACCGTCTCGCATACGAGATCAGTTTTGGTTCCATATGATACCTTTTTTTTGAGAGTAGACCCTATCGAAATATTGTATACTTCCGATGTCCAATATGAGACTCGTCGCATCATCTGAATCATTACAGAGTCAAAAATGTCTGATAAAACTCTACAGCAACGTCCAAACACGTCGTAGATTGCTTCACAAATACAAACACACACTAGTTGAACAATAGAATATTTGAGCTAAATATTCGAACGGTTAAATAATTGCGTATCTGAACCTTTCAGTTCAATAGTTGAATATCTAAATACAAGAAATGAATAGTTGAATAGTTGAACAATTGAATATCTGAGCTGAATAGTTGAACTATATCTGTCTCTTAGCACAAAAAGATAGAGATTGAATGTATTCTAGGTTTTTAATGCAGTTCAAGCATCATTTGTTGGTAAAAAGACCGCAAGAAAGTCAGAAAGATCTTAACATTTCCTTTGAGTTTTTCAATCAGGTATGCTCATGTTTGTATATCAGTAAATATAGATGGATCATTAGCAGTACTACTTTATTGTCGTTTCGAAAACAAAATATCTGCATTTGTAGCATTTGGATTTGCATTTAATCAAACTGGAAAAGAAGATTTATTCGAATTAGATTCCAATATTCATAAACTATCGATATTACTTTCAATTGACAGGCAAACCTCAGTTTTGATGATGAATGAGTTAGACTAGATAAATTATTGCATGTAGCGTAGTGTATATAGTCTTCGTATAGTTTGTTAGATTACACCTATTTTTGTCGTGAAGAGTTGGTACCGAGCACTACTTTCTGTCATATCTGAATTTCGTTTTTTTTTCACTTTATCCTCTCTTAACTATAACTGGCAACTATTTTGTTTCTCTCATATCTTCACATACTACTTTAACTTCACTTTCAGTACTTCACAGCAATAACAAAAAGCTAGAATCAATTCTTTTAAAATGGCGTGATTATTTCAAACTTTCACAATCTTCTTGAAGAAGTTCACCATTTATGAATGCTTTTGTTTTCTGTTGACGATACTGTAAGATAAAGAAAAAGAAAAGAAGATGCTCTGATTGCTCTGATATGCGGAAGGACCTAGAAGAAAAATGAAAATGCTTGTGATGCTCTAAATCTTGGAAACACTAGCAAACCAGAATTGTTCTCTAGAAAGAAATGCCTGTGTAAATTGTACTTAACAGAAGAATAATCATTTATTCTATTCAAATAGTGAGCAGCAACATAAGGTTTAATTTTTATATGCAGGTGACAGGAGATAAGAGACGAGGATGTGTGTGATTGTCAATGAGTCTGAAGTGGAGAAGAAGTTTCAGAGCAGGCATACCACACGTTTAGATGCTTGCCAAATAAGATCATCGGGTATGTTTAGAGTTTCAACTAGAGGTTTAGCAGGGTTAGGTCTTCTTTCGTCGAAAATTTTTTTTTCTACTAGTCGTGTTTCGTCGAAACTGAAAAAATGACTGTTCTCGTTTCGTCGAAAAAATGAATCCTAATTAATTGATGGAAAATAGATTATATCAATTGATAAGATGTTTTTCCCTATTAATCAGAAGTAGCGCCTGATCAGATGTAGATAATTTTATCAGAAAAGATTTATTGCATAGCAAGTTTATATACATATATAACAAACTATTAAGAGAATATGAATATAAAAAAGAAAAATCAATACTTTTGTATTGCAATTAGTTGCATAACTTTTTTAAGATATTCATCTAATGTTAATGTTTTTTGTTTGAAACGTTCTTCTAAATTATTTAATCTTGCATTTCGATTAACAAATAATTTTTTTCGTAGAGGTAATGCACCAGTTTTTAAATGACGTAATAATATTGCTGAATCATAAGCATGATCATTTTGAACTGAACGTATTAATATATAAAAATGTGGATGTACAACATTATTTAAATCATTATTCAATCTGTGATGCCAATCTTCCAAATTGTTGTTAGTCCTTAAACTTTTAAAATCAAAATAATTTCATAATGTATAATCAAATAATGCATCATTATCTATCCATGTAGTTGTTACATAATCGTAAAATTCACCTATATTATCAATATCTTGATATTTATCCATTATCATAACACACCAATTACTAATCTCTTGTGGTGGCATGAATGCAAGCGCACACGTTTTTTTTATAAAAATTTCTGACATTAATTTCATTTATATCACTTGAGTTCTTCTTAATAAATGCAGATTGAAATCCCAACTCCTGTAATTTGATATAAATGCACTTATTGAAGTGAAATTTACATCCTTTGATAATAGCATTTGGAAAAATTAATTTAATAGAATTTATAGCAGCTTGTTCAAAGTCAATAGTAACATACTTTGGATTAAGACAAATATCATTTACATGACACAAATTTAATATAGAATTAAAAACTGATATATATGTTGGACCTTTTTTATCTGGTAATAAAATGTACAATTTTGGTGTTGATAATTCATTGTTTACCGAATGAACAGAATATAATTGATAAAATGAATTTGGGCATGATTTAAAAGTTCCGTCAAAAAATAAATGATCATTATCACTTCCTGATAATTGTTTAAGAGATTCTAATGTCCCAAATATAGGATATTTTAATTTATGTAAAAGGAATAATTCACCATTTAAAGTTTTACTTCATATTTCTTCAATATTAACATCATCAATATTACGTGAGGCAGGTGGATAACTTGTATTTCTTGCATTATATAATGAAGCTTTCATCTCGTAAAACATTGGTGTAAATGGTGTAATTTGCGGTGATGCTGTATATAATGATATTATTTGTTCTCTACAAATCTTTTTAAATGGTTGCGGTGAATCTTCAATACGTCGTTTTAAATTCATTCTAAATTCTTCGACTTTGCATTTAATTTCATCATCTTCATGATTACATGGTTTCTTCATAAATGGTGGATTTGAATCATACTGAATAGCACGACCAGGACAAGAGCGATTTTCACATTTTCAATAAATCGTTGTATTTATAATTTTATCTTGGGTATAACGGAAATTATCGAGAAGTAATGTAGCTTTTTTACGTTTACTTTCAAGAATAGTTGACATCATTCTTTACTCAAATTAAATATAGCATAAAAAGTAAGATTAAACCTTTCCCTATATGTCTATATGTATTTTTTTCGCTTTAATAACTTAAGAGTTTTAACCAATTTATTTAGAAAAAGAACATTTTAAGACAATCAAAACAATTAAGATGATGCCTTTCATTTTAGCTCATATCATTACATTTCATTTTTTCGACGAAACGAGAGCAGTCATATTTTTATTTTCGACGAAACAAGAATGATGACAAAAAAGATACATCAAATTATTCAACGAAACAAGAAAATCAATTAAGCTTTCGACAAAACGAGAATACTCCGTTTTGAATTGGTGAACAAATTATATTGACAAATAAATTTCGTAGATATTGATTTTCATTCAAGCATAGAATCTTCGAAAAAAAAACTCTCTAGTTTTGCTCACACAAAATTAAGAAAGTATATAATGCTGCATTTAGTTTGTATTGAACATCATGTCAAAATAGATGCAAACTTATCTATTATTAATCATGCACAATAATAATGTTGACTTCGTCGCAAATACTAAAGAATCTCTCACAAAAAATAAAATTCCTTTTTTCACTTATAATATACCATTTTTTTTTTATGTCACTATACAAAAATCATCGTCTCACCACATTGGTCTCGTACGAATATATTCGTAGCATAGTTACACTCATGAACAATTCACAGTTGACTAGATAGACGGCTTGAAATAAACTCTGAAACAATGATTTGTTTGTAAACTTTTCTGAAATTTTTCGTCACTGTCCTATATTGTATCGATTGTCTTTACAATGAAGAAATAGGGAAATCCCTAAAAACAATACACTTGAAGCGTGAGTTATCTCTGCTTATGATATATAGAGAAAGTAAAGGTCATTAGTATCCCTCATCACTGAAAAACATTCTTCAAGCTGAACTAGCATAAATCAAGTATGTTTGTCCTTAAAAAAAAGAAGAGCAACAAGTGATACCTGTGTATATTTAAATCATATTTCTAATTATATAATAGATACTCATCAATTATCTACTAATTATATTGAAATAAACTGTTTTGCTTCTTCATCACAATTATCATGCCGTCAAAGAATAAATGATATTCAGTTATAGAAATATGAGAGCTTTTTCAAGCGAAGCAATTATTACTATACGTTTATATCTTTTATCTAACTTATTTCTTTATTTTATTAATAACTACTAGACAATAGAAATTGTAAGAATTTTTCTATTTTTTTTACACTACTTTCAAATTTTTCAAAGACTATTATCTCTCGAATATAAATAATGCTGTTTAATTCAGCATTTCTTTTTTCAAAATAGCATGAAAGACATAACCTATATTGGCTAAATGTTGTTCTTTAGTCATCGAACCGGCATAAGTTTTCTTTTTGTGTAATTCAATAAATAAACATGATGCATTATCACGTACGAAAATGTACCTTTATCTAATAATGAAATGTGACCCATTCTGTCAATTGAATCACAGATAAACACATAAAAAAACTTCGAAAATATATTTTAAAACTAATCGGTTTCTTTATTTTAATAAAGTCGATATTGCGTATGATGTTAAATTAGTTTTACACATAAGAAGAAACAAAAAGAAAGAAAAAGAAAAATTTGTAACCAATGTGTTCGCAAAAGTTAAATACATACAAGAAAAAAATCAGCGTTATTAATAAGAAGACATAGACAAGACATTTTCATTTTTCTTCGAAAACAGATTAAGAGAAATATCGAGGTAGCTTGAATTTTTATTCTTTTTTTTTTGTTTATATACAAAAAAAATAGTAATAATTATAATAATAGAAGACCATATGTATTAGTGTTTTATTCTATTAACATGAACATCCTTCTTTCTTTTGTTGTTCTTCTTGTTGTGGAATACGTATTGGCATTGGAAAATCAGTTTGTTGATCGATTTCTTTTTCACGTGCTAATGCATTACGTGCAACCGTTTCAAATGCTTTTTCAACGTTAATACCTTCTTTAGCTGATGTTTCAAAATATGGAATGTTATTTTTTTCTAAATGAACAAAACTAAATAAATTAAATTTTTATTCAAATAATTCTATATACCTTGACACCAGCTTTGTGCTTTACGTGTTGGAATCTAAATCGATAACAAAACTTAAAATTAAAAACACAAACAAAAAAAAAATTTACCATTCGATTTTCTAAATCGATTTTATTGCCAAGTACCTATATAATAATAATAATAATAGAAATTTATTTGTCGAATACAAAAAAATAATGACTTACGACAAATGGAAAATTTTCTGGATCACGTGGTCCCGCTTGAATAAGAAATTCATCTTTCCAACTTTCTAATGATTTAAATGATGTCGGTGATGTTACATCCATAACAAGAATACAACAATCAGCACCACGATAAAATGCAACACCTAAACTTTGAAAACGTTCTTGACCAGCTGTATCCCAAATCTAAATTAGAAACAAAATATTACTTTTTTTCCTAATTGTCTTAAAATCTGATATAATGACCTGCATGGTAACAAGACGATCATCAATTTGTAATTCCTTAGTTAAAAAGTCGGCACCAATTGTTGCTTTATATTGATTTGAAAACTAAAATAAATAATCTAATATAAATAAAACAAAAACAGAGACTTGATTCATACTTTTCGATTAACAAATTGATTCATTAATGATGTTTTACCAACACCTGAGTCACCTAATATAATCACTTTAAGTAAAACTTTTTTTCGTGAAGCCATTTCTGTATAATCTTTGATTTATTAATTTTCAAAAGAAAAAAAAAGAACGAAAAGATCTAAAAATAAAATATATATATATGTTATCAAGTTTTATTTCAAAAAAATAAATAAACAAATATATGTATACGTCTTGTTTTTTTTTTCATTATCAACATTGATGAAACATCAATGAAATTAATACTAAATGATTTTGCGTCGCAATCATCTCCCTCTCACACACACATACGAATGTTAACAGTCATCAGACGATCCGTACATTATTCATTTGAATATTCCATGAAAAAACATTGGTTAGAAGAGAAACAGGAAGAAAAGCAAATGTTTTTACTTACATATACTGCATACACTTCTAGTAGGCCTATACACTAGAGGACGCAACGCTAGCTGTGTGCGTGATTCTCATTGTGATTTAGTACTGAATATGAGTCATTATCAGCTGGCAAACAAATATGCAAAGGACAAAAAGAAACAAAAGACGTCAATAAATTAATCTTCTTCTATTTTTTTTCTTCATGTGAGTTCATTATAGACAACAAAAAAAGACCTTGGATAATGTTTTCAAAGTACAAAAGAATAAATAACAAAGAAGAAAAAAAAAATAAAGAAAAAAGAAGAAGTCCTATTTTACTTTTTTTGAATAACAACACAGATAAATTCTCATGATTATTTTTTTACACATATACCTCGTTTTTTTTTGCTCACTCACGTACATAGATAAATCAGATAAAGTAAAAAGACAAGTAAGTAAATAATAACATTTAATTAAGTTTTAATTGTGATAAGAATTGAAGAATATCTTGTTGTTGTGAATTATCAGTTACTTTTTTCAATGTTAATAATATTCGTTTAAGTGTTACCCATCGTTCGAATGCTGAAGCTTTTGTTTGTGCTAATTCAACAATAGATTCAGGTATATTAGCAAGACCTTTAAAATAATACGATATTATGTTTTATCCTTAGTTAAATATTTTTACTTACGAGCTGCATTAAATCCATGACTTTTTGGACATGAACCTTCGACAAATTTATAAAGAAAAACAAGTGTTTCTTTTGTCAATGTTTCTTCATCATTTTCAATCATACATGACTATAATTATATAAAAACAAAAATTAAAATGAATGATATAATCTTATTCATAAAATCACATATACCATATGTCCTAATCCAACATTTTCATGTTTTTCAAAATCATCAACTAATGTATGATAATGTGTACTAAACAATGTTCGACATTTGATACGATTTGCAAGATCATTAACAACTGAACAAGCAATAGCTGTGCCATCAAACGTTGATGTTCCTCGTCCTTAAATATAATATAGATATTTATATTAAAAAAAAAAAGAAAAGCGAAATAAAATTTTCAATTTTCTAACCAAGTTCATCAATAAGTACTAAAGAATGACGAGAAGCATGACGTAAAATTGATGATGCTTCACTTAATTCAACAAAAAATGTTGATTCACCAGCCATAATTCGATCACTAGCACCCAAACGTGTAAAGATTCGATCACATACACTCATTGTACATGATATGGCTGGTACATAGCTTCCCTAAAATTATATATATATATATATATTTTTTTTTTATTATAAAATTTCTATTCTTAATTAGTGGCGTAACCAGACAAGAAACTCAGCTCCTCTTAGAAAGACTAATAGTTGAGGTCCATTTAAAAAAAAACATCTAATCGTTCTCTAGGAACGTTACTAGAAGGTTAATATTGATCTAAAACTTTGTACACATAAAGAATTTAGCCAGACTAGCTTCCATACAATAATTTAAAAGTTTTGAATAAAGTCTCTTTAAGATATAAGCATTTCAAGATAAAGACTCTTTTTTTCTATAGATAGTTTATACAACATGCATTTTTTTGAAAGTTTCATTTCTCGAAGAGGCTTTATGCAAAAATTTCTGAATTTTTTAATGCCAGCTAATCTAGTTGAGTTTATAAGCAGGAATAAACCATTGAAATCAGAAGAGAATATTTGAAGAGGTTTCCCCAAGCATCGTTCTCTTCTCTACGACTTTTTTCTGGTTACGTCACTATTCTTATAAGAAAATATAAACATACCACATGAGCTAAAATAGCAAGTACAGCT